CTACCCAAATACTTGGTGTACGAGGAAGAGGGTTACAAGATCTGTTTGTTAAGAAAGGTTCAGGGTAGTAAGTCAAAACACTTTCTGTGTCGAGGTATAAGTCTGAAGCATTGGTGCATTCTGCCACGTTGAGCTTTCCAGTGAAATAAGCACAACAGTTTGTTTTGTGTAGTTGTTTTTGTCTTTGCAAGACAAACACAGCAGGATGCTCTTTTCGCAGAGCAGACTGTGATTACTCTGCTTAGTTCGACTAAGGACAACATGCAATTCCCATTGCACTGACAGAGAAAAAGCCATTTGATTACGTGCAACAAACAACAGAAGCGATGCTAACTGCCAGTCTGTCATGTTCCTGCTCACAATTGTGCAGTTATTGTGTGTCCCCACTGGGGCAAATTGCACGATGCCTCTGAATTTTTTTCCCCATCTGCTCTATCAAACCATGGGCACACTTGTTTGTGCTGTCTGAGGGACAGACAACCTTTGGTGTGTCGTGACTGAGTCTTTATTGTGTTGACCGATTGAACCTGGGAGTACATCAGTCCTGCTAATCGAGGAGACGTCAGGACAGCAACTCTGTAATGATAAAGCGATAAGATGAGGCCATCTGTTGGTCTGGGTTGCTGGACCAATGCAGAAAAAGCTTGAAGTCACCTATTCAATCACACAACGATTGTGATTACTTGGCAACTTTTTGACACTGGATGTCAAGAGAAAGAAAAACGATTTCATTGAGTGCATGGAACAAAAAGGAGCAGAATGGTAGACAGGACCAGATCTCTACCTTTTCGATTCTGCAAATCAACTTATTGCTGATATATACTTATCTGATTTTTCAATCAACTGCAATAGCTTTAAGAATTTCCTCCAGGGAACCATGTATCATTAGTCTCTAAAACGGTGCTTAAACTAACCACTTGTATAAACTGAGTCCTGAAACTTATCTGCAGCAGATTATACTTTCAAAAGTTCAAAAGGAATGTTCTCCAGATGTCTCACATTGCACAAGTACAGAAACATGGCTGTTGAAATGAATTGCAGGCCAAGTGTGCATCAGTCATTGACGGTAGTTTGAAAGACATGCAGATTTGTGCAAATTTCAGGGACTGAGCCACAGAAAAAATAAGAATATTTTCTGACCTGACACACTGAACTAGAAAGTTAAGAATATTGTAAATCAAGGTCAGCTTTCTTTCAGAAAACCTACATTTCTATACAGTTATTGTATCTCCATTCCAGATTTTTCAAAGGCAAATATCTTTAAAAGAAATAATGCTAAATAATTTATTCTTTAAAAACAAACCACCTGGCCTAATCCTTATGAGGATCTATTTTAAATCATGTTTCATGTTATATGTTTACGTTTACAAAGAAATTACATTTCCATTAAAACATAATTTCAGTTCAAAGTATAAAGTCAGGTGTTCCTGCTGCCTGGTCTTAGGTTTGTTTTTCATTATGTATCACTGAGCTTTCTATCAGCTAAAATGTCTCGGCTGTCTCTGTCAATTAAATCTTTGGCATGCAAACAATAACTCATTCATGCAGAGGTGTTAGATCCCCATGACTGCCTTTGGCCCTAGGCCTTGACACATGCAGGCCCTCAGGAAACTGGACATACATTTTAGGCCATGCTGTCATGTTTTGAACTGCATTCAATTCATTGAATCAGGGCCAAAAAACCTCCAGTCTTATTGAGGATTAGGTGAGTTCACTCCACCCAACCCACTGAAAACTCCTAGAGGACTTTGTGGAGTGGAAGACTGGCAGGTGCATTGGCTAAATTAAAGTGGATGAGTGTACCCCAGTCTCTTGTGGTGAAGAGACAGCTGAGCTTGAAACCAAAGCCATTCATTTGTTTTTACATTCCCTCCCTCAACTATGGTGACAAGCTCTGGATAGTGACTGAAAGAATAAGGTTGCAGTCTTGGTAGTGCAGGCGTCTTGATTCAAACCCAACTATGGCCTTTCTCCACAAAGAACATCAGCGTCTGTTTTGTCCTTTCTTCCTCCTCTCACCCCTAATCGGTCACGGGAGATAGCAGCCCCTCCCTGAGCCTGGTTCTGCGGAACTTTTTTAAAAGGATTTTTTTCCTTCCCACTTTCAGCAAGTGCTTGCTCAGAGGAGGTCATCTATGTGGAGAATAGCCTGTGGGTTCATTCCTGATTCAAACTTGACCATGGTTGTAGATAAAGTGCTTCAAATGCATTGAGTAAACAGCTGTATGGCTGTATTTTTTTACTGGTTGATCTATGATCCCACCCTCACCTATGGCCATACATGCATGTAGTGGATGTTCCTCTTCCTCTGTGGGAGCTTGTCTTGGAAAAGCTCCATAGTTTAGGACAGGTTATAGTCCTCTTCCACATAACAAGTAGCAAGTTGAAGTGGTTGTGATTTGGATGCCTCATGCACACCTCCTAGATTAAGCCTTGTGGATATGTCCTACTGGTAGGAACTGTGACAGGACAAGGGGCAGAAAGATGGATGAATGAAGTGATTATTAACTGGCATAAAAATCAGAAGGCTACAGACACCTTGGTTATTCTTCTGTCATTTCAGCACACCAAGTTTCTGCATGTAGAACGTACTATACAAAACTGCAATGTGACAAGAGATTCATTAACCTTAATTTGATTCACATCTGTTTTCTTTTCTTTACTATTTAATGAGAGACATGATTGACTGCAAATACAAGTTGATTACCAAAACCTTTTTAGAATATTTTTTTTCTTCAAATCTTTGCTGCATACTGAGCTGTCATATTTTTCATAATACAAAACCGGCAACATTATTTTGAACAATAACTACCATTATGTCTCAGCAGTTGTGCAGTCATCTCTGGCATTTTAAAACTTCACAATATCAAAACAAACAAAAAAAAAAAAACCCCAAGAGAAAAAGAGCTGTGTGTGCAGATTCAACTTTACAATGTGTGAACGGATTAATTTATGTGTTTAATTCTCCCGTTGCCCCCGATGGCCACTCTGGCACTGATGTCTCTCTATTTCATTTTGAACAGACCGAATTAATGTTTACTTAGAACACTGGAGGGCCACGCCACAAAAACATGAATGAAGTTTTGTATTTGTAATAAAATAGTAAAACAGAAACTACTATACATCCTGGGATGCTCTGAGGATGGCAACTGAGGTATGGTTGCATGTTTTGCACAGCAGTTTAAATTTAAATATGTGTGTGGAACTACACACTCATATTGTTTTTGTACAGCATGTGCAGGATTGATGGAGATTCAACACAATATATAAAGGAAAACTGAGGCTGAAGGCGACAGAACATGACAAGAAACACAAGCAGCCAGATTCTCTCATCTGTTTGGAGCATTAAAAGATCTAAAAACTTATTAACTGGATAAGAACAAGTTGGTGTTTTTTTCAGCAGTATTAGTTTAAAAAATAGGAAGAAAACAAACAGGAAAAGGCTCTTCATATCAATTTAAATGATAATCTACATCTACATCCAATAATCTACATCCAAATAACACCTTTATTCTTTTCCTGTATTCTTTTTTCTATTTATTCTGTTCTATTTATTTTAAAATTTCAGCTGAAGAGGAGAAAACACAAACAAAATCTTTTTTTTTTTTTTTGCCCTCTCAGAATATATAACAAACCAAACCCTGCATGGTTTCCATAAACCAATTATTCTTATTCACTCTATTCAATTCAAAACTTTTGCAAAATTCAACAGGGAGCCTAAAACTTTTGAAAGATTTTTGGTTTGTCTTTTGATATATATACACTGGTCACTTTGCTAGGCACGCTATTTACCTGCTTATTAACATAAATTTCTAAGTAGCCAACCACATGGCAGAAGCCCAATGCATTTAGACTTCCTGCTGAAATTTGAGCATCAGAATGGGGAACAAAGCTAGTCTTAAATTTCAGAGACTTCCCACACAACCACTTTTCAGCTTTACAGAGAATAATTAAAAAAAAAAAAAAAAGAAAGAAAATATCCAGTGAGCTCATTTCTCTGGTTGAAAATGTGTTTTTGATAAAAGAGGAGAATGGCTGGACTGGTTTGAAGTGAAAATGTTATGGTGTGGAGATAGGTGCTGGGTGGAACCCACACACACGTGCAGTCAGGGTGAGCTTGAATTGAAAAACTACTAAACTGCATAGCAACAGGGAAATGGGGAGGAGTTTTCTTTTACGGAGAGAAAGATGCCTGATTGGAGGAGACAGAAACTGGAGCAAACACTATCTATGGAAAGCCAAGTCTGAGGCTTCTCGCCAAATTTTTAACCAATCATATTCATGTGATATTTCTATGCTATTATTAAAACTTTATTCCCTGAGGAGTGGCACCCTTTCTCTGTCAGGACAGCTGGACAGAGAGAGGTCCGCAGCGCTGTAACTGGAACCTTCGACCATTTAATAAACTTCATTATAAATAAAATTCATCTTTGAGTTTGTTCATCCTCTCTCAGAAAACAAACGCGACAACAGTAACTCCGATAATCACTCATTAGAGCCAAAGTATGTAGAAGAGCATCTCTGAAAAAGAAGAAGAGCTTGAAGACTGAATAACTCCAATTTCTACCTATTTATCATATCTTGGTGGTATATGTCATTCCAAGCTCTGCAGTGTGGAAGATGTTGATTTTTTTCAGTCCACCAACACACACAGTTCTCAAAGTTGGACATTAAATGACTGGAAAAAACATTAGCTCGTCTGATGAGTCTCAATTTCTTCTGCGACATCTGCAAGGCAGGGTCAGACCCAGGACTAGCAAAGTGGACCTAATAGTGTCCAGTGAGTGTAAGCTTTGACATCGTTTTCTTATCCATTGTGAAACTGATGAGTTTCTTGACATTTTTATGATTCTTAACTGGTGTAAATCAATGGCGACGGCAGCCAGCACCAAAATGTTTCTTTTCCTTTATTTTGCCATGTGCTGCATAAACTGTGTATACAATATCTGAAGTGTATCACTGATGAATCTTTTCCGTCTCTCTCTGTTTTTCTCCAACAGTCTGAAGAATCAGATATGTGTCCAGTGAGCGTGGGACGCCGATTAAAAAAAAAAAAAAAAAAAACTACTACTGGATTGATGTCAGACAAGCTGTGTTCAGCTTGCCCTGCTTTTTCTGCCTCCGCCATGCTTTTCGCTCCTCTCAAAACTATTTCAATTTCTCTCCTCATCCCTCCATTTCCATCTCTCTCTGGCTTTTTACTCTGTCTGTTTTGGATTTTTTTTTTTCTAACACTAGAACTGCATCAGCTCCCTCACCTGTCAATATAAAGTGCAGTTCCTGCACATTGTTAGCCACTCCCAAACCATAAACTTTGACTTCACACTGCGGCTGTATTCTCTGCTTTTTTTTCCTTTTTCTTGTTTTTAATTATTTGTTTTTTCAGTCCACTGACCGTCTGAGAATATTAAAGTGGATCTGATACGCAGCAGCCTTTCTAACATGCATGGACTGAATTTAGCTTTATTTTTCACATGTTAAGTACTGTAAGTGGAATTAAGAATATAAGGGTTTGTTTGCTTTTGCTCAGTTTTAATGTAACACATGCATAGTGTCTAACATTGTTAAATCATTGCCCTAAATTATGTAAGGTAACAGTGTAATTTAGTGCATACATTCTGGACCTAAATCCCCTTGTAGCTTTTAAGGGGTTAATGGCAATAATGACACTAGTAGAAGTCTAACAATAAGTTGCATTGGTATTGTCTTCTATTGGCCATACTGAAGACTAAATTGCTCTTTTTTCTTGGGTTTTGGTTGTGCTGTAAGAAGACCACCAGAACTGGTGAGATTTGTCTGCATCTACACAGGATTACAAGTTTCAAATAGAAGCTTTCAACACTTTTAATTTGCCAGTACTGGCACCATGGTAAGAACTTTGCTTTCACCATGTTAATTGCTGTGATCTGGGAACAACTAACATCACTGTAAAGCAATCAAGTGGGGTAAGAAACTGTCAAACAATCAGACAAGTCAGAAAAAGTTAGCCAAACTTTGCTAAAGGAGAAACAAAGAAGGATTTCCCAAACTCTATCCATGTACCCCAGCATCATCCCAAGCAAAGCAGCACAGATATTTTTCTCCTCTGGTCCTCCAGGATACTTAGCTCATCTGCCCCAAGTTCTCCACCCAGTTAGCTTCGTTTCAGCATGAAAGGATTTGCGTTGCAAGCTCTTGAGGTCTTCACATGAGGTCTAAAGCTAGGAGTATTCTTCTGCAGACATACACAGAAAAGAGCGCTATTGCCAGTTGATTCCATTGGTACCAAATCATTTGCACAAACTAGAAACAGGAACCGTCTAACTAAAAGAACTGTTTGATGTCTGGAGCACCCTTGTCCTACAGCTTTGCATCATGGGAAGTGAAGGGCGGCCTCAAAGAATTTCTAGAACATTCCAAAAGACTGTAAGTCACACATACACTCAATCTTTTCCATGTATAAGGCCATCCAGACATTATTACCACACTGGTTGTGCCATTGTAATCCAACATCTTCAGCTAACTCTGGGCTTCAAGTTGAGCTACTCTGTCTGGTTGTCTGGGTTTCATGTTTCTTGCCCCTGTATAAATTTGTCTTTGTTTTAAAGCGGTCCCAGACGACTTCAATAATAAAAAGTCATCTGTTATCATCATTGACAGAAACGATGTCAAAATCAAACAAAAAATTTCATTAAAGTTGTTTTTAAGGTATGAAAAACGTTCTGGGATTGGGCCTGATATATATAATACACATGCATATGTTTGCGTGCGTTAAAACCTTACCTGATTTCAATTTGGATCAGTTCAAGATCATTTTATTAGGTTCAGACAGCTTCCAGTGCAGCTATTTTTAGATTCCTCTCTGGAAGTTCTGTTCTGACCATTTACATTTACAAACTTTCACAATGGACCACCTTCAAATTATGTTTGAAAGTGACATAAATTTCAAAGCCTAATGGTAGGTGATGATCGAGACCAGAAGCATGGTTGTTGTTACTCATTCACTGGATTTTGCACCATGACAAAGTGAGACTGTCAACACCATGCTCCTGTGGGATCTGAGGGAGAACACTGACAGAAAATTACCTGTCTTGTGCCACCATACTGTAATGATCTGTCATGTTTGGCCACACGAACACAGTGCGCTGGGAGAGCCAGTGGAAATTACAGAGGCACAAGTAGTGGTAGACAAAATGCGACTTCCACAGACTGATCTGAAAAGCTGATCTTGAATTTTTGGGAAAATTGGGAAAAGTTTTTCATTTTTCTAGGCCTCGTCCAGGAAGTTGTTGATCACACCTGTTACAAAGAACAGCTAGGTTTCTCTTGGTTATAAAAAATGTCACCAGACATGATCTCTACCGCACGTTGAAAAGAGGGACTTTGTTTTGTTTTAAATTGCTGTCCAATGCAGCATATACAGTCTAATATATAGAGTCAGTGTTTCAAAAAATATATATTTCCTTTCATTTCAGTATGGTCTTCATCTCAGGGAGGTGTAACTGGATGCTTTTGTGAAATTTAACAATGCTGTTGAGAGCTGAACATTCACATGTACTGAATCCATTCCACCATAGAGACTTCTAGAATGTGTTGGTAGATGAGGTAGAAAGGACTGAAGTATAACTGTAATGGTTTCACAGTATTTGATATTGATGTGAAGTGTTTTAAAGGGTAATTCAGCTTTACATATATAGACAATATATATATTATTCGAAGCTTATGTAGCATTCTTCTTTCTTACATGTCATGTCAAGAAATTAAAGATGTTGACTTAAAAGCCAGTATTGTATAAATGAGCACTATGAGGAAAACTATAGATGAGTAATATATCACTGTTGTGGACCAGATTAAGTTGTAATTGCTATCTGTTTACAATGTAAGTGATTTTATCTACTATCGTTTTCAGTGCTGTGTCAACTGCAGACCTGTGTTTGATTAACATGTAGCTTTGACTGTGTCGTTAAAGCGTTTAATTTCTCAGCCCTCTAAGGTTATTGACAGCTGAAATCACTTAAATATGGAGCTGGAGATTTGTACTGTAGAGGAAAAGAAAAAGATTATCATCTCAATTTGAAAAGTGGAAGAATTGTCGCTGGCTGATGTCAGAGCCGCCAGCTGATGTGTGAGATGCCACCGCCAACGACATTATGAATAATTTCTAGAAATGTGTTTTTTAAATATTGCAAATAAGACATGCACGTATGATTTGTTATTGCAACGAGGAAAAAAAATGAATTGCATTGCTCAGCCTGAGTAATAACGTCTCTGTCCAGGCGTTGCTTTGAATCAGTCATTTCTCCTTCATCACAGGATGTCCTTTGCTCATACACCCCCTAGTCCTGTTGTGCTCTGGGTTATGTGCTTTATTGTGTCTGAGAAACGAATAAAAGACACTTGCAATGATTTCTTCTGTAAGTTGTTTTCTGTTTATTTTATTGTGTTGCTTTTTCATCTTATTTTTAATAATTATAAAAAATCCTATCAGAACACATTAAACTTTTAAGGTAGTGAGTCAGTAGTGTAGAACCACAGTTACCAGTGACAACTTGAAGTAATCGTATTCTGTGTGACTATGAGTCTTTCACATTGTTGAGGAGGACTTATGGCGCACTTTTATTTTGGTCATTTCATTGATATTTGTGGGCATTTTTTGTGCACAGCTCTCTTAAAACTAGACTATGTAAAATCACATCACTCTGTAGAGTGCAGATTGGTGTTAAGGAATTCTGTTATTTTTACTCCTAGTTCAAGTGCATAATCCTAGCTGTGGTGGCCACTGTAGGACTTTTCTCCATAACAGCTGGTTTGTTTCTACTACTTTTTGCGAATAAAAAGATGGTCACATCTTTTGCTTTCACTTTTTAGCTTCTTGGATGATAAAACATATTTAGCTCAATGTAACGTGAATGCCTATGAGTTCTTTTCTTCTCTGCCTTTGATGTACCATGTGTACGACTAGACTATAACCACATATATACAATGTGATTAGGTGGAGTGTCCATCTCTGCACCACGGTGGGTTTAACAAACGGTGCTCGCGCTTATGAGTTTTTCAGTGGATTAATTCCAATAAAAATGCATAAGGTCGTTAGAAGACATGATTACACACTAATAAATGTATGTTTCCGAGTACAATATTTTATTTTATACTAAATAAAATTACTTACTCTATGATTTTGCAGTTTCTCTGAGCATTTCACCTAACTTTGGGGTGAATTTGATAGGATATCCACTCCTGGCAGGATTACTTTCTAATCCTTAACACACACCTGAACCTCAGACAAACAAACTGACAAAATGTATGTTTTTATCAATTATTGTATTATTATTACTATTAAAATATTAGTAGTAGTAGTAGTAATAGTATTGTTGCGTCAAACATCAATTAATCAAGTGCATTTGATTAACATGACCTGGTTGTTTCTTATCCTCGCAAGTTTGACATATGGTAAAGTATATTTAGGTGTTCACAGAAATGCATAGAACCCTTTGTTTTTCACATGACTGTATAATCTCTTTGACTGACAAGTTATCATAATCACAATGTTTTTATCCCAATAAAGAACTAGAGTGTCATAATAAAGAGAGAATTATAATTTTCCTTTATGATTCAAAATGCCTATAGACCCACCTCGGTTGACCAGAAATACCCTTTATGTTACTAAATACTTAAATAGGATATACTTTTAGTAAAAAATGCAACTATTGGTAGGGCACCTGATTGTAATTAGATTGTAATCTAAATTAGATCCTGCATTAAAAGTCTGTATTATATAGATCCATGGTTACATCAATAGGCAAACATTCAGACTGTTTTTTTATGATTTTTGAAAAAATATGTACACAAAGATAAAGACATTCTCATGACTGCTGAATTTAACGTCCTGGCGTCCACATATGTGGACATCACATTTTGGGTTATTTAGACTAAAATATTAAATTTTGCTCTACATGGGCCTGATATCCACTTACGAGGACAATATACTGCTACTGTTCTATCAAAATTTTAAACGAATATCCTCATATGTCGCTCTTATTTTTCTTAAAAAAAATAAGGTAAAAAAAATCTGGTAGTTCTTTGTTTTTACAATATGCACAAACATCAAAGAGAAATGGAAAATGCATGGCGTGAAAGAGTTCGGGTCTTAGGAGGTTAAAGCAACTTCCTGATGATACACTGAAGACATGCTGGAGCAGAGATAGTGTGTCTGTCTACAGTAGGTGGTATGTACAGCAGCCTTTTTGATAAGGTGTCTAGGCAGATATTACTAGCTAACAAGACTACTACTTATCTAAATTAATGCAGAAACAGATCTAACTTTAAATTTAAAATGTTATGTCTAAAAATATTCAGTGAAACCTCCCTAAATGTTAGTTAGGTTTGCCAAAAAGTTGAGTTTTAAAGGGATTTTCTTTCCTTCACAGATGGTATCTTTGCTACATACTGTATGCGCAAATGTTGTCTGGTCCTTATAACAGCAGATGGGCAGAAGAACTGCCATCTGTGGTGTTATGGAATTTCCACTCACGATTGTTTAAGTGGCAAATATATGCGTTATACAGTGGGTAAAGTAAGTACTGAACACATCACCAATTTTCTAAGTAAATATATTTCTAAAGGTGCCACTGACACAAAATTATCACCAGACGTTGGTAACACCCCATCCAATCTACACATGCAAAGAAAACAAACCATGGACATCCATAAATTTAGTTATGTGTAATAATGAGAAATAACACAGTGAAAAAATATTGAACACATGAAGAAAGGGGGTTGCAAAAAAGCATGGAAAGTCATGACATCATCTGAAATATATAAGTAATTAGATATTATACCAATATTACTAATAATATTAGATTGCTTTCTAATATAAGTAATTAGAAAGCAATCCTCCCACTTAGTTTATCAGCTGGTTCAATCCCAACTGATGGCCTATAAAAATGATGTCATATTACCAAGGTGTCACACAAGAAACATCTCATGATGGGTAAAACCAGTGAGCTCTCTCAAGACCCAAAAGTAAAGAAGAAAATAAAGAAAATAAAACACACAAAAAAAACATGATGAACATTTTCCTTCATGGTGCAAAGAAACAACTGCTGAGAGAAGATCTGGGATCCGGAAATGATAAATGGACATTACTGTTGTTGACAATTTATCAAGAATTTAAGGCAATATTTAACCACTGTGGCTAGCATACTGTAGCATTCAAATGGGTGTGAGTATGGGTGTTAGCATTAAACCATCATGAAGCCATGCACCTTTGGTGCAAATGAAAGTATCAATGGTTCAGCACAGTCTCAAGAGTGTGGAGGAGATACCAGCAAATGGACAAATATACAAGTACAGCTGAACAGGATTGTACAAGGACATCATCCAATCAGCAGGACCAGTTTATGCTCCTTTGTACGAGGAGGAACTGTGGAAGCACTGCCGAGTCCTACGATATAACCTTTAGTGAGCTACTCATGTGCATGCTTCTAATCAAATTGTCAGAGACTCCATGAGGGTGGCATGAGGCTCTGCAATCCTTTAGGCCCTGGCCTTGCGCTTACAGCCAAGCACTAAGCAGATCAACTGTCATTCACCAAAGATATGCCTCCCCAGACCATCACAAACCCACTGCTACCACTGGAAGGAAGGAAGGAAGGAAGGAAGGAAGTAACGAGTAACGTTACAAAAAGATGGCGGCGCGCACAGACGCAGCGGCCCGGAGCTCCTACATTTTTGCACTTTTGGTGGTATTGGGTATTATTTCACATAGTCTGGGGTTACTTCAATACAATAGAGATGATCTACTACAACTAAGCCGTGGAGATCTTCAACTAACATCCGAGTATCTCATCCCCCCAGAGATCGTTAGGCAACCCCCGGGGCTACCCGCAACAGTAAGCCGCAGGAGGAGACGTTGCGAGCGGAGGCAGAAGAGAGGCAGGCGGGGAGGCCTGTGGGCACGGCTAAAGACTAGTCCGTTTAAACCACCACTCCCGACCATATTCCTCTCCAATGCCCGTTCAATCCGTTACAAACTGGATGAAATATGACTGCAGATCGCCACTCGACGGACTTTTAATAACTGTTCGTGCATGATTTTCACTGAAACCTGGCTGGACAGCGCCATTCCCGATGCGGCTATTGATCTAGCAGGCCGCACCGCCTATCGAGCCGACAGGTCTGCGGACTCGGGTAAGAAGACTGGCGGGGGGCTGTGCATCTATATTAACAACTTTTGGTGCACGAACGTCACGGTAACGGAAAGACTGTGCAGTACAGAGGTAGAACTGTTGGTGTTAAAGTGCCGTCCATTCTATCTCCCTCGGGAATTTTCTGCCGTTTACATCTGCGCTGTTTACATTCCACCAGATGCTAATGCTAAGCTAGCGTTAGCACAATTGAGCAGCGCATCAATAACAGCCTGGTAGCACACCCGGACAGTGTCTTTATTGCGGCTGGGGATTTTAACCACGCGGACCTGAAATCTGTACTTCACAATTTCCACCGTAATGTGAAGTGTGCTACCAGAGGAGATAGAACGTTGGACCAGGTGTACACCAACATGGCGAATGCATACAGAGCCCAGGCTTATCCCCACCTGGGTCTGTCAGACCATCTCTCCCTTCTGCTACACCCAATATACACACAAAAGATCAAGAGCACTGGGATTACAACCAAAACCGTGAGAACATGGCCGCAGGATGCTATTCCGATGCTTCAGGACTGTTTCCACTGCACAGACTGGGATGTATTCAAGGTGCAGGACACTGACAATCGTGTCGCATTGGACAGTTACACCTCCACTGTCTTGGACTACATCTGTTTCTGTGTGGACAATGTAACAACTTGGAAACGACTCCGTGTGTTCCCTAATAATCCACCCTGGATGACACACGGAGTTCAACAACTTATTCGAACAAGGAACAACGCTTTCAAATCCGGGGACCAGGAGGCATACAGTGCTGCCAGGGCCAACCTGAGAAGAGGCATCAAGACTGCCAAGCAGCAGCACAGGAGGCGTATCGAGGCCAGGTTTGAGAACAACACAAACCCAAGGCAGGTCTGGGAGGGCATCAGGGCTATCACGGACTACAAAAGAGAACACCATCACCCTCAGCCGACAGTTCTACTCTGGCTGAGGATCTAAATCTCTTTTATGCCCGTTTTGATAGGGAGAACACCGACCCTGTCCTGTCCCCTCTCCCCTCAACCGACCCTGCTCCAGTCCTGAGCACTCATGAGCTGAGGCGTGTGTTCCGGAGCATTAACACCAGGAAGGCGGCCGGGCCAGATGGAGTGCTGGGCCGGGTGCTAAAAGACTGTGCTGCGGACCTGGCGGACGTCTTCACCTCTATATATAACACCTCGTTGTCCTGTTCACTGGTACCATCCTGTTTCAAAGCAGCAACCATCGTTCCCATCCCAAAACAGTCAAATGTCACATGTCTGAACGATTTCAGACCTGTGGCACTCACCCCCATTCCCGCCAAATGCCTGGAGAGACTGGTCATTAAACACATCAGAGCTGCTTTTCCACCATCCCTGGACTCGCACCAGTTTGCATACAGGGAGAACCGGTCAACCGAGGATGCGATCGCCATAGTGCTGCACACATTACTGAAGCACTTGGAACACAGGAACACCTATGCACGGCTCCTCTTTGTAGACTACAGCTCGG